TTGAACTAATCTATTTATGTCTCTCTTGGGTTTGGCCAGAGGATATTTGTACAGTTAAGGCCTCTTTTAATGCTCATACAGCTCAAGCGTTTGCAGATTTTCCAGAGAGGCCCTGCTATGCAGAGCCCACAACAGGACCAGAGCAATTACCACAGGATGAAGAAGATTACCCGTGGCACATGCTCAGAAAACCAGACTATTTTAAAATTACAAGTTCTCAAGCTTGCTCAAGTGACCCCTTTTGTTGGGTCACAGAAGTTCCCAAATGCAGATGAGAAAAGGAGAAAAATTAGGAAGTCAGATGCATATCAATGTCACCAACAAGCGAAGCTGACTGCATTCAAACACACTTCTGCAAACTTAAAGTAAAAAACAAACAAACAACCAAACACCTCAAAACTCTCTGATTTCTCTTGGGGATTAAAAAAAAAATGCTACTTCTGTTTACTTTTCCCCCCCATACACTTCCCTACAGTACTGGCAATATCCCAACACTGACTGTACAACACAGGGACAACTCACTAAACGGGGACTTGTTCATTTTCACCAGCCTGTAATGAATAAGACGTACAGGAGTAAACACCAAGCTTCTGAATCTTAGGAAGTTGTAAAGGATGTGTATTGCTATCACAGACAAAAGCACGCTATGATTGTTAGTCATCTTGGCACGTGAGCATAAATAAAAACCAGAGATGCAGATTCTCAAGACGTTCTTTTTAAGGAAGCGACTCCAAGAGCAATTCATAAGCAATGATGATTGCAGCTCCACGCCATCCACGACATGTATTAAGTGTGAAAAGTTGCCTTCTCTTAAAACTAAGGGAGTACACACAGCAGTGGCATTTATTTCTCATCATCATGTAACCACGTATTGTTTTAAAACAACCAAATGAACAGATGGTGACATGGCAGCATGGAAACGGACCAGGAACATTCTTGAGAGTTCGGTGGTCCTTAAAGCAAGGAGTCACACTGGAACATTGCAGTGGTTCAGGTAATCCAGGTTGTCACTTTTTGTGCTATCTCTATAGAACATTTGTATCGACTGCACCTTTAGAAGTAAGTTTTAATCTCTGTCAGATCTTTAAGCCCTCTCTTCTCCTATCCAAACACGCAAAGAAAAACAGAAACACTCAGGAAAGCAAGTTTTCGGATTACTGTAAAAGAGAATGGGCTAACAAGAAAATCTCACAATCTTCAGATATTTTAAGGGTAAAAACTACAGAATTTTAGCTAGGCTCTCTGCCTTCACCTAGTTCAGTATTGTTCATTAGAATATCATGCAGCATTCACATCAGAAAGCTTCATTTCTCTGCGTGAGTTGGTCTCAAGTAACAACACTGGAAAATCTCCATCATGTTGGTTGAGAAATTACAAAATAATGTGAATTTGAAAAGAAAAAAGGAAGAATGCATTAAAGTAAAAAAGATGTTAAAAAATTAAACAATTAGTATGGCAGTGATCATACTGCAAGAAAAATAACCTGCAGAAGTCTGAACTACCTAATTTGAAGTCAAGTAGGGGAAGCAGAAAGGAAATCCACCTTAATAGCTGGATAATCACATTAGTTTCAACATTTAAAACTAAGCACAAGCAGATTAACCTACAAACAGACAAAATACACACAGGCAAGACATGTAGATCCAAGTCTATTTTTTTTTAAAGCGTATTTTGCAAAGACTTACCATAAACAAGGCTAAAACATGCAGTACACCCTGAGTCAGGATTACTGGAAAAGTGTTTTCAAACTTTAGAAGTTTGATCAAAGGTGATTTACACACTTAGGCAGTAAAACATTTCCTTCGACATACTAGACAGGGCCTTCTCCTCAACAGAGTGAACACGGTCAGAACAATAAGCCCAGGCAGGGAAGTCTGGCTCAGGATGTGCACGTGATCGGGCAGGGATGCATCATCAACATAACCCCCCCCTTTACATAAGTCTAGGAACGTTTACCACAGAAAAGCATTTCCTGTAAAACCTGGAGCTATTTGAAAGCCAACCGGTTTTCACGTTGAAAACAAAACACAAAGTTGAGCGTCAGCTCCGCAGAGATTGTGAGGAATTACGGGCTGTTACCTTTAAAGTTCTTGATCACTAATTTCTTAGCGGAGCCAGGTTTACTGTTGGCGAAACTGGACACAGTAGAGGAGGCAGCTTTGGTCAGGCCATTGGCGTGGTGCCCTACGGCCACTGAAGAAATTAAAAGGCTTTTATTTTTGAGCTGCTGTTGGTGCTGCTGTTGAGAAGAGGCAGCGGGAGAGGACGAGGAAGAAGACTCTTCAGCCATCTTCACATCGAGTCCGATAAAATCCAAGGAGTCCTCAAAGCGCAGCTTCTTCTGGAGGTGATGGTTGGAGGAGGCAACCCCTGAGGAGGAGCACGAAGAGGCGGCGATGACCAAAGAAGACGAGGAGGAGTTGTTTTTGGAAGGAGATGAGGAGCAGGAGGAAATGGAGTCGAATTCCTCTCTTTCGGAGTTGCTGTTATTTAACTTTCTCTTCTTGCAGGAGGAGCTGCTGCCGCTACTACCATCAGTGGCAGGCCTGACCTCCTGAGCTGCAGCGGAGGGGTTGGGGGAAGAGAAACCTGTGGGAAACATGAACACACAGAAATGAGCAGGCTGAGGGGCACCAAATCCTGGCGGTACGACAAAGAGGAGAGAGGTTCCGCGTCGGCCTCCGGCGTCTCTCAGCGGAGTCCTTTAACTGCTCTCTCCGTATCGACAGAGTCCCTCGGAATTCCCCCTCCTTCGCCTTCTTATTCCTCGGAGGAACCACCGGCTCTCCTCTCTTCCCCGTCTCTTTGCGACTTTCTTTCTCCTCGCGGCTCTCCTCCGTCTCCACTCCTCCCTCAGGGCAGCGCCTCCGCCCCCACCTCTCGCCACCCGCGGGCTCTCCTCAGCGCCGTTCACCGGCCGCGGCGGCTCCCCGCGGCCCCGCCGCCACCTCTGCTCCTCCGAACGGCAGCTGGAGGGCCGAGCACGGCCCCGGCGCCCCGGCTTCGGCGCGGCCCTCAGCGCGGCCCCTGCCGCCCGCTCCCCGCGCGGCTCCCGCCCGCCCCTCTCCGCTGCCGGGGCGCTGCCGGGGCGGCCGGGCCCGGGGCTTGTTATTGTCAGTGCGGGCGGGGAGGGAACCTAAAGATGGCGGCGCATCCGCTCGCTGTGCATGCCGGGGCGCGGCCGCCAGACGGGCCCCGCTTCGGCCCCGGCGGCGCGACCCTGCCCGCGAGGCCCTTCCTCCCAACCGCCCCTCCTGTCGATCCCGCGCTCGGCCCCGCCGCTGCCTCCGCCGCCTCTCCCCGGCCGCCGTCTCGCTGCCCTCTGACCTACCGGAAGTGATCATGGTTGCCGGCCGCTGTAACGGCCGCCCGCCGGACCCCCTCGCGCGCCGGCGCAGGGCGTGGCGTACGGAGAGTGGGCGTGGCCAACGGCCCTCGGTGCGCTCCGCAGCGGCGCGATCGCTGCTGACGTCCGGTCCGCGCGCGGGGTTGTGCGCATGCGCGGGGCGGGGCGGGCGCTGCGGCTGCGCTCACGGCTGCGCTCACGGCTGCACTCACGGCTGCATCCGTCCGATCTGGCGAGGAGCTTCGTCGGCGTGCAGAGGAAGGACCCGCCGGGTGGGAGCGGGTGGCGACCGGTCGGGGCCGTGCTGTGCCGTGCCGGGATTGCCGCTGTGGCTTTGCTTTTTTTCTCAATGAAACTCGGGGAAAGGTGTCTAAGTGTTTGTCGATTATGTGCGTCAGTATTGTATCATGTTTTGTCCTTTCCTGTTTTTTTTTCTTTAATACTGTGTGTGTTCTGACTGTATTTCACTTGAATAAATTATGCTATTTGTGATTTTACTTTCCATGGTTGCTGTCGTTTGTAAGCATTGCATTTTAATTAGTTGTTCTAGTATCGCAGTTGATTCATTGCTTTGCTATAGAAAAGGAGCTCGGATGGTGACCTGATCTTTCACATCCTTCACACCAGCAGTGACGTTTCCATTTGGATGTCAGTGTGTATGGCTGTATGGCACTTAGCTGCTTGCAGAGCAAACCCCTTTCTGGCTGCTTTTCAAAGAGATGAGTAGCTGTTCTATGTACTGGAGATGGAATTACCGCAGCTGGCATGAAGCAAAACGTTTTGATTCCAATGAATGCTGTGCTTGTCTTCACTTGGGTCCACATGGGCTGATGGGTGGCATTCCCATCCCTGGAGGTGTTCAAGGCCAGGGTGGATGGGGCCCTGGGCAGTCTGGTCTGGTATTAAATGTGGAGGTTGGTGGCAATGCCTGTAGCAGGGGGATTGGAGATTCATGGTCATTGAGGTCCCTTCCAACCCTGGCCGTTCTGTGATTCTGTCATTCTGAGGGACGTGGCCACTGCTTGCACAGGAGAAGGCTGAGAAGGCATCTCATGGCTGTTCATCTGAAGGGCAGGTCTGAAGTTGGTGGGCACGGGCCCTTTTTCAAAGGCATGCAGTGACGGGCGCAAACTGGAACCCAACAAGTTCAGTACGAATATGAGGAAAAACCTTCGTGTGAGGGTAGCACAGCTGCCAAGGGGGGGGTTTTCCTTCGGAGATACTCAGACTGACGGACACCATGCTGTGCCACTGCTGTAGGGAACTGCATTGCGGGCTTGGACTGGGGGGTGTCCTGAAGTCCTTTCCGGCTCTGTGATCGTGAAACATCTGGGAAAAGAGCGCCGTGTCGGCACGCGAGCAGCACACTGCTCTCTCGGTGAGCGCAGTCTCCCCGCCGCCGTGCTACGAGGCACAAAACCAGGCGCCGCGCAGCGCGACGACAGCAGCCGCGTTTGCCGTCCGTGCGCATGCGCAGAGGTGCAGCGCGGCCTGCTGGGAGTTGTAGTCCCGCCGGCGCCGTGACGCCGCACGCGTTCCGTTGTCATGGAGCGGCGCGACAGGCCGTAAAGCGCGCGGCTCTTCCGGCTGGCGCGGAGGGGAGGGCCGGGACCTCGTGTGAGGGAGCGCGGAGGCCCGGCTGCCCGCCCCGCGCCCGCCGGTCCACGCCCGGCCCAGGCTCTCGCTCGCCCGGCGCCCACCGCCCCAGGATGTTCAAGAAGTGAGTGGGGCGGGGGGGGGGCCGGCCGTAGGTTGCCGGTATGGGTCCGGCGCTCTGTCCGCCGCAGTGTTGGGGCCGGGCGGTGCGGGAGAGGCCCGCCGCACCCCCCACCCCCCCCTCCCTGGGTCCCGGTCCCTGCGGCCGCCTCGTGTGCGTCCTCAGCCTCATCTTGCGCTCTGCCTTCCAACCCAACCCTCGGTGTCAGAGGAAAGAGGGGAGAGAGGGAAGAAAAAAAAAAAAAAAAAAAAAAAGGCAATTTGGGGCTTTGCGTTGTCGAAACTCTGTGATAATGCAGATTGCGGACGGGGGGCTGCGGGAACAGATTTGATGCGGCCCTGGGCAGCCTGGTCTGGTATTAGATGGGGAGGTTGGTGGCCCTGCGTGTGGCAGGGGGTTGGAGATTCGTGATCCTTGAGGTCCCTTCCCTTCCAACCCTGGCCATTCTGTGAGAACGCGGCTGGCCAGGGCCGTAAACGGTGCTGCTGTCAGCGAAAGCCGCCCCGCGAGGCTGTGAATGGCGCTGTGGGGCGCTGGGGGATCCGTGGGCGCGCTCACGGTGCTGGGTGACCCTGCCTGCCCCGCCCAGGGCCGGCGTCACGGCCCGTGTAAGCCCGTGCTCAAAGCAGGGCGTGCATATATTTATTGAAGAATGCTTTGTGAGTGCTGTGTTGGCGGGCAGTGGATTCTGTGGTTTCTGAGATGTTTTTGCTTGGCAGATTTGATGAAAAGGAGAACGTATCAAACTGTATCCAGCTGAAGACTTCAGTTATTAAAGGTATTAAGAACCAACTGATAGACCAGTTTCCTGTTATTGAACCATGGCTAAACCAAATTATGCCAAAGAAAGACCCTGTCAAAATAGTAAGATGGTAAGTTTCTTTTTCTTTAACCTCTGTTTCCAACGTGCTTGGGTTGCTTCATGTACTTGTTTACTTTCTATGGGAGAATGGCCTAGGAGTTTTAAAAAGAAAAAGTCCGTTCTTGTAGATAGCAGTGTGTGTTATATCCGAGCCAGAAATTTTATGTGTGCTCATCATGCTGTTGAAAGCATGTTTGTAGGGTGCTGGAGGAAAATGAGAATGCTGGTGGCAAACATCTGACCTGTATGGTGGCTCTCTTGGGCTTACCTTGTTGTTGAAGGAAAGCATTCAGCTTTATGGCTTCAGGAAATCAAACTTGTTTAGATAGCTTCCAGGTTGTTTTTATTACTATTACTGATTTTGGATTTCCATATATTGTTTGGTTTACTTTTTTTAATAGAGGGTAGGATTTTTTTGCTGGCTTTTGTGAACAGCTGTCTGTCTGTCTGCAGACCTTTTAAGTAGAGGGAATAGTGCATGAAGCCATTATTGAAGAAGAAAGCATCTGATATTTTTAGTTTTAAATTTTCCTGATAATTGACTGCCTTAATTATCCTCAGTTGCCAAGATAGACCAGAGTACGAGATGCATTTGATTTACAAAAGAGCTAAGTAGTTATTAAAGTTACCTTTCTTTTGCCTTGCAGTCATGAACATATAGAAATCCTCACTGTGAATGGAGAATTGCTGTTCTTCAGACAAAGAGAAGGGATTTTTTACCCAACACTAAGATTACTTCACAAATGTAAGTTCCCTGAGGATGGTGATGGTGGGAGCAGAGGGGTGAGTGTGGGGATCAAGCAGACTCCTGTACAACTGAGTATTTATGTAGTGCACGTTGCAGGTCTTAAAGAGGCATTATGCATTTCCAGCTGCACTTGCACTGCTGTTTCAGATATCTGTGTGGCTTGTTTTCTCCAGAATAAATGTAATTCTCTATGTTAAGTAATCTGACCTTTGATTTTTAGGTATTACATTGCAGAATTCTTGTGGGGCTTTGTGCAGATGGTTTTTCTATTGGAGTCTACATTGCTTGTTGTGAATCCTGTTACCCTATCTGTTGTTTCAAGCCTTTTTTTAAACCCTTCTTGCTGCCTTTAAATATTTGTAGGTTCTTACTGCAAAAGTTGTCTTTAACCAGCAGTTCAGTGATGCAGTGGATGCTCATCTCCTTCCAGAACACACTGCGTGGTTTTTACTTCTTAAATTGTGATTTTTTGCATTACTTTATCTCTGCTCTTGCTGTTCTGCTCCATTCTGTGTCTGCTTTGGATGGCTTTGGCTGTCTGTGAAATGCTGCTCTGGATTTGCAAACCATGTTTGAACAGCCGTGTGCTGTTGCACAGACTTGGAGAACGCCTTGGAGAGCTGACATTCATGAACTTTGTCTGCCTTTGCATATTTTGTCCCGTTACTTCTGAAGTGTTTATTTCTAGAGTCCCTTCAGTGATTGTCTTCTTTGGGGAAGCTTGGTACAGTTTTTGAAGGGCTGTGTGCACATGCAGGAAGGATAGGCCTGTGTTTGGTTCTCAGATTCCCAGCCTTTGCTTCTCAGAACAAAGATTTAATCAGGAAAAACAGTAGCTGTGTTTGTTCAGGACAGTGCTGCCCAGTGTGCTGCTAATTATTTCTAACCCCCTGCCCATGCAGCACATTGCACACCTAATTCCCTCAGCGTGATAACAAATTGTTATTTAGTTATTTATATTGTTATCTGAATGTATTAATTGTAATGCTGTGTCTTTCCCCTCTTAGATCCATTTATTCTACCACATCAGCAGGTTGATAAAGGAGCCATTAAATTTGTACTGAGTGGAGCTAATATAATGTGTCCTGGCCTGACATCTCCTGGAGCAAAACTTTACCCTGCTGCCGTTGACACTGTTGTTGTATCCTTCTTTAATTAGGAATTACTTCTTGCTGAGTTAAGTTTGTATGTGTATGTTCAGCTGGTCACAAACTTAATTACTTCAGTGTTGAATATTAGTTTGTGGAATAACTAGTAATCTGAGAAGATTTGCCAATGTTTTGAATGTTATTTGGAAAGATTCAAATTGTTCTGAATTCTGTTTTCCTGTTGTGATGTTTCAGAACCACCCCAAAATTAACTATTCCTGCTGGGCTTGGTTAGATGGGAAATAAGAACTCCTGGTGTTAGGCAGAATGAGATGAAGTACAAAATGATTTTTTCCCCTGCCTCCTTAATACAGTTATCTCCTTTAGTTATAGAAGAACATAGTTCATTTCTTAAGGAGTGAATGCATTACTGAGAAAGGAACTAGATGATTATTGTGGTCCTTTTCAACCCAGGCTGTTCTGTGATCAGAGGGCTGGAGCACCTCTACTGTGAAGAAAGGTTGAGGGAACTGGGCTTGTTTAGCTTGGAGAAGGATCCAGGGAGACCTCACTGTGGCCTTCTAACATTTGAAAGGAGTGTATTTTACAAGGTTGGATAGTGACAGGACAAGGAGTGGTTTTCAACTGACACAGGGGAGGTTTAGGTTGGATCTGAGGAGGAAGTTTGTCACACAGAGGGAGGTGAGGCACTGGAACAGGTTGCCCAAGCAGGCTGTGGATGCCCCATCCCTGGAGGCATTCAAGGCCAGGCTGGACGTGGCTCTCTGGGCAGCCTGGTCTGCTGGTTGGCGACCCTGCACACAGCAGGGGGTTGAAACTGGATGAGCATTGTGGTCCCACCATTTTATGATTCTGTCAAATTCAGCATCAATGCCAACCTCTACAGCTGTTGTTCCTATTCAGATGTGATTGGAGAAGATGCACACTCAGTATTACATGCTGACAAGCTTTGAGAAGGATTCCATTATCTTGTAGATTTCTTCAGATACGCCTCAGTTCTTCTGTGCAGTGTGATGTAACATGGGCCCCATGTGGAGCTGCAGCCTTTTTCCACAATGGCAGAGGCTCCCCTGTGTTGGGTGTGAAGGGAGATCTGGAGGGTGGTGGTGGGAGATTGTTTAGTAATTGTTATTCAGAGTTCATAAATATGTGCTTCACATTCTGTGCGCTGCGGCTCAGCTGTTAATTTTGCTTACCTTCAAGAGCTGCAATTACTGAAGGGCCAAAAGTTCAACTAGGGAGTTTGATGCTTTTTTTTTTTTTTTTTTTTTTTTTTAAAAATAATTTCTCCAAATTTTTTTTTATGCTTTTACTTTTTTGAAATAAATTCAAAAAAACAACAACAAAAAAACCACCCTATTTTCCTTAGTGGTAATTTTTAGGCAATAATGGCGGAGGGGAAACAACATGCATTATGTGTGGGAGTCATGAAGATGTCAGCTGATGACATGTAAGTGGTGTAAAAAATGAAATATAGCTTGTCCCATCTTGTAATTTCTTTTTTAGTTTGTAATTTAAGCTCTGCTGTCAAGGTTATTGAATCACTGTTGCAGTGTGTTTCTGTTATGTGTAGCATTTATTTAAGCTTTCGTTTTTTTGATTAACATTAGGCTGGGAGAAGGAGGCAAGGAGTGTCTTTCCTAGTTATTTATTCACCAAATGGAGTCAAAATAGTTACTGTATGCGAACATAGATTTTAAGACAAACAACTTCAGTGCTGTCTCTGAATGTCAATATTTCTTTTGCTCTGATAGTACTTTCTCAGAGATTTTGCTGAACAAAGAAATACCTCTGAGTATTTGCTGCCTGTGCTGGGCAGGAGACGGAATTTGGGTCTGAGCAGGCTGAAATTGTTCAAGTGATTTTATTTATTTTCATGTAAGGGCAGCAGAGACCGAAGTCCTGCTGGTACTGGGGCTGACCAGCTGGTTTCTATTTTTTTCTCTCTTTTTTTTATTTGCCTTGGACCCACATGCAGCATTCCTGTCTAAAATCCTTGCTAGCTAAGCTTCTTGTGAGCTTCAGAGATCTGGCTGGGGGTAAACAATGAGTAAAATGAAAAGGAGGCATAAAACTGAAAAGAATGTAGATTATTCTTAGCATTCTGATAATCCAGAATTAGGAGATGAAACTTTTCTGTTATCTTGAGTTCTGTGACGTCTTGCAGCCATCTTACAAAGCAGCCCAAGTAGGTCTGGGCTGCTCTGATTCCGGCCCCACCAGCTGTGGTGTGGGTGACAAAGCTGGTTCTGATGAAAGCAAATCAATCTTTCTTGTGGGGATAATTCTCAGCTGGATTGTCATCCTCTGTACTGTGTCACTGTGCTGCTGTAAGCAGTCATGAAAGCACAGGGGAAAGGTGGGGGTGCGTTCCAATGAGCAGGGGTAGAATGGCACCACAGCAGCCTGGGCCTGGACTTGGATAATCATTTCTCTGAATTATTTGTGGTGCTTCCGATGGACTCGAGGAAAAGGTTGAGAGAAGGAGATGTAAGTGCCTGTGTCCCATCCTACATCTGCAGAGACCTGCTGTGATCACTGAAAGCCTGGCTGTTCCTAATCCTGACTTCGAATTCACTTGAATGTTGTATTCCTGTGGGAAGTAACATAAGCTGGAGAGGAGAAGGAGATGGTGTTGCTCTATGCAGCCGTGTGCTGTTTTCTGTGACTGTCTAAAACAGAAAATTGAGAAACAGTGCTCTCTAGATCATTTTACGTTATGATACGTGATGCATTAGTGGAATTAACACAGAGGTATTTTCCTTCTTGATTCCCAGGGGATTTAAACTTTTCTGTCCTAGAATGATTAGTTTTGTCTTGTTTGTTGTGGTAAAAGTAGATCTTTTTTCCATGGGATTCATAACTGGAAAGAAAGATGAGCACAAAACAAATGCAGATGTACAAAACCACCAGTGCTCACCTGCATTTGGTTCTGTGACATGCTTGTAACCATGAGGTCAAATTCTGTACTGCTGACGTGTTTCCTGTTTGCCCATCCTGCATTTACAGGCACAGCTTGTACTTCCAGTGTGGTGCTTTGTACTGCTCCAATTAACCAAATTAACCAAACACTTCTGTGCTTTTGTTCTTCAACAGTGAGAAGGTCAACAAAGGGATTGGTATTGAAAATATCCACTATTTAAATGATGGTCTTTGGCATATGAAGACATACAAGTGAAACAAAAGGAACTGTGTTACTCCAAGGGAATGCACTTAGGTTAAATGTGGACTGCTTTGTAATTCCTCGTTTTTAATGTGACTGAATGTACAAATTATTTTGTTCTGTGGCAATGCTAAATAAAGCAAGTGAATGCAAAAGTACTGATAGGCTACTATAGTTTTCTAGATTTCTTTTTATTACAGTCTTTAATTGGTTTGTCTTAAACCCGAGTCCTCAGTCACTGAAGGTATCTGGTGGGAAAGACCCTGCATGGACTGGGAGCAGAATTTCAAAGGAAAAGGAGGAAAAAAAACAAGGAATGTTTACATTTTTATGCTCCTAAAGCAGTAATGTAAAATGTATGTGAAATACAATTAGTACAGTTTCTAAAACCAACAAAAAAAAGTCAATTTTTTTGCTTCTGATTTAACATCTCACTGGCCTGTTTATTGAATGTGGAGAAATGTGTGTTTTTTTTTTTTTTTAAACTTCATTTATTACCAGCGTTAACTTCAGTATTTTACTTGAGGAGCACTTCTTTTGAAGAAGCATTTATCTATAGGATTTGAGAACATAAAGTCACCTGAGGACTGTAAATTCTTCTATCTTAGATCGTAACTTAAGAATATAAACGAGCTCAAATTTCAACCTACCAACATTGGTACAGCTCTCCTTGCAGTGGCATTTACAGCAGTGGTGCTCATACTCCAAATGGAGTACGTGCCTCTTGGTGCCTGATGCACTCCTCCCTGCTTGCACCTTTAGGAGCAGAAACAAAATCACTGTTCAACAAAGGCACGATAGCAAAACGTAGCCCTAGAGCCGAGTGGAGCTTCACAAGGGATCCAAGGGAGCTTCTGGAGCTGCTGCACAGGTACACCTGCACAGGTGGTTAGAGAGCACTGTTTGTCTGTGTAATCTGCCACTTTGTTCAGCGACTGCATACCCAAAGCTGTGTCTATGGAAAAACAGACTGTGCCATGGAATTATTCAATAAACTAAGAAAACATTAAGGTCTACTGTTCATAACTGTCTCTGGAAGTATTTATTAATACTTTAAGTCTCTTTTCTAACACTTGTATTTTACTAAGGGTAGGGCTTGATTTTTGTGTGCAGTGCCCTGCAGGTTTCATTTCTGTGACCTTTACAGCAGGTATGGCAGAGGTGTTCTCAGTCTGATTCTGAAGTCAAATTACAACACAAGAGATTGAAGTATTAACGTGTGCTACTCTTACATTACTCCTGTAAAATCATTTACAAGACTGCTTTTGAAAATGATAAGGTATATCTGAAAGTATGCATGTAATTACCACTGTATCCCACACCACTATATTGCAGACAGAAGTTGAGTCCCCCCAAACCTTCCTGTCAGAGTAATGGATGTAATTACACATCTTAAAGGCTGTGCCATAACTTCACTGATTTGTTAGTGCTGTGGTGATCAGTTTGTGCCTCAGGGGTTCCTTTGTGCATAAAATGAGCTAGTCAGTCCTGTGGCTTGCTTGTTCTTCCGTCTTGCCCCCAAGTCTCCTCTGAAACAGCTGTGGTAGCTGCCTTGGTGCCATTCTTAATAAAAAGTGTTGCTCAGAAGAAAATACTGTTGCTACTGATCAGCTCTGGATTAGCTCTTTCACAACCTTTCCTCCCCTGCTGAAGCTAGGATGAAGAATTACAGATAGCACAGCTTTCTTCAGCAGACCAACCTTATGTCTTCTAAGCTCTTCTATAGGTAATGTAGCACCAGTGGAGCCCAAGGCGGTGCCGCTTTAAGGCTTTGTAATGTCTGGGTCAGGTAAGTGGATTCTAAATGGAGTAAACACACCAAAGTGCTGTTTATTGCCACTTAATTGTAACTGGTGGAGGAAAAGAACATGACGAGGTGACGTGTAAAGCTTGAGATTTCAAATGCACATTAAGTGTTCGAGAGTTCTGTACATGTTTTTGTGCACTTAATGTGTTTGGCATTGTGAACAAAGAGAGGCTGAGTGTGGAAGCACGTTGATCTATCTGCACCTTACTGTTCAGAAAGGTCTGTAAATAGAGCTGTACTTTATACTTGCATTCACAGCTAACCAACTTCTTCCGTGTAAACACTATTAGCACCTCTAACACTGAAAACAAGTAGAACTTTTATTCTAATGTTCTTATTTAACAGCTTTAAATGAACAATTACTTCTGTGCTAACAGGCTACCTGACCATGCTAATATTTATGTAATGCTAATATTCAAATGTAGTTATCTTGTTCTTTTGTGAGATTAAGGCAGGCAGTTTAAAGTTTGCTTAATATTATTCTGCATTAACTTAATAGATTTCTTCTGTCAGTTGCTTCCTGCTAGCTTGTTCCTGAGTTAGGAGATTGCACATAAAGCAACAGGTGCACCTATGGGCTGCTTAACCAGTGCATTTCAAGCTGCTCTATGCTTCAGCATAAAGGAAATCACATAAAAGTTGTCTTTCAGACTGAATCTGTAGTCAGTTTTATTGATTCCTCTTAAAAAGATATAAAGACATTCTGGAAGTGTCTGGAAGAATTGAGAGAATCAAAATCTTGCAAAAATATATTTATAGCAGACTAAAGTTCTTTTGACTTTTCATTAATAAATACTAAGATATACAATGCTCTTCTCTCCCCCCCATAAACTTAATTTCCTTTTATCCCAGACAACTCTTTTTTGTTCATTCCAGCACTGTCAAAAAGTCAGAATCATTCCTGTATAAAAGACTTTAGAAGGAGAACTTTCAACTGTCTCTTTTAAAATTAAGAGCTTTACCAAATCTTTGTGCAAAAAAACGTGCACGAGTGCGATCGGAGAAGAAAACTGAGTGTGTGTACAAACGCGTGCCACGAGAACAGCTGCCTGCTTGGTCCCATCTCCTCTCTGAAGGACATCAGTCATTGTCTGAACCTGCAGGGGGTAAGAAGACGAGCGCGTCGCTGTAAGCGTGGCCGTAGGGCCGCAGCCTGTAAACACCGTACATCATCACATGCATGTGGTTGGGAGACAGCCCGTTGAAAGTGATGGCCATATCTGAGCAGCAGCCGTCCACCACCTGCTCAGGCCGACTCGCCATTGCCTCTTTAATGAGAGCGTTGACCGATTTGGTGTTAAAAACATCCTTTCCTTCAGAGTCCTCTGCGTTTTCAGCAATCACTCCGGTATACTTCAGGCATACTGCTAGTTGTTTGTCCTCAGAGAGCTTCCAAATCATACCGCCTTGCTCTGGACATTTGTCAGAGTCTTCAAAAACGCGTGAGAGTCGTCTTAGTGATTCAATGCTTAAGACAATTCCTCCCTCACCATCTACGTACTCCAGGTCGCCAGATTTCATAGTGTGGCCTATATAAAAAGGCTGTGCAGGGTCTTTCTTCAGTAAGAAATACTTGAGATTTTCAATAATCGCAAATGTTGTTGGATAGGCGAGGAAGAACCAGTTGAATTCATCTTTATAACGCTCATAGGTTATCTTGTAAGCTTTTCTCATCATTGTCCACATATCGTTTGTGTTGAGGACTACAGCGTTGAACACTTTAACGTTCTCAGAGCTGTAGAACTCTGCCTTGTCGCAGTGCTTGCTCCATGTCTCTCTCACTGCAGCCCAGTGCCCAATGTCTTTGGGTTTCACGAGGACGATGCAGTAAACGCGGATGCTCTGGCTGAGCTCCAGTCGTTCATCTTCTGAAAGATTTAACACTTCCTCTTTGTTGGGAGCCTGAATGTGATGGTGCTCGTGATGACGTGCTCTGGTCCCATGGCCGATCTTCACGTGTCCAAGAAGTGTGACCACTACACAGAAGATTCCTCCCAGCAGCACGCCCTTCATGAACGAACTGCTTTCGGAAAGCATTGTTCCTGGAAAGGAGACGCGCTTTAGGTGCCGATAAGGGATAAGCCGTTTCCGTGCTAAGCGTGGCAGCAGACAACACGCCCGCCGCACCTCGCGCTCTCACCGGCGGTCCCACCGGGCTGCCGGCCCGGCCCGAGCCCTGTCGCCCTCAGCCGCCGCGGCCGTGCCCGCTCCCGTTCACCCCCGCGCCGCCGGTAACCGGGCTGGGCCCGACTCTGCCGCCACTCACCGGCGCCACTGCTGCCGCCAGTGCCAGGACACCGGCACGCGCCGCGCCCCGCCACTTCCGGTTCCCCTTCCGGTTCCCCTTCGGTTTCCGGCGGAAGTGCAGCGCGGGCCTTCCGCGCCCGGCTCCCCTCGCGGCGGTCGCTGGGCGGCGTCGCCATCTCGCGGGGAAAGCGGGGGGACGGAGCGGAGCGGGTGAGAACAGCGGGTGGCACCGCTCCCTCACGAGCTGCCGCTTCGTTCCCCTGCGCTCACCGCGCCGAGCTGGCGGCCTCGCGTCTGTCCTTGATGTGGCAGCGGTGGTGCCGCGTGCGTCGTTCGGTTTGGAGGGCCTCATTAAAATCTGCCCTGATGTTTTGTCCCGGTGCATTTCTAAAATCTGCCGCTCTTCTACACGTGAAGCCGTGATGAGGCCGGCAGGTATCATTGAATCACAGAATGGCCTGGGTTGGAAAGGACCACAATTATCGTCTGGTTCCAACCCCCTGCTGTGTGCAGGGTCGCCCACCAGCAGCCCAGGCTGCCCAGAGCCACGTCCAGCCTGGCCTTGAATGCCTCCAGGGATGGGGCATCCACAGCCTGCTTGGGCAACCTGTTCCAGTGTGGAGGAGTGTGTGCTGCAGAGGGCACCCTGTGATTTGTTGGGCGACTGGCAGAGAATCGGGGATTTGTGCCGAGCTGAGCTGTGCTGGTTTCTCTGGGCACTGACAGGTGTTGGGCGCGAGGTGCGCCCGGTGGGCAAGGTTTCTGACTAGATTTTGAAACTGTAGGCTTATGATGAAAGAAACCTGTTACCTAAGCCTGTCTGCCAGAATGAGCTATGCTTCTCAATCTATAATTAGGCACACAAATAAATTCGATCTAATTTTAACTCGCCTGCAGGTTTTACTGAATGTGAAACGTTCCTGTGTACTGACGTGAACCCAGCTTATGACCTCTCTAAACTTTTGGTAGTCTTTGGGGGTGCTTGGTCTGATGCTCCCTTTGCATAGATAAGGGTTTGCAGTTTTGTATTTTCACAGGCTACATTTGGGTTTTTCTTGCTGACTAAAAATAGAGATCTTTGTGGATCAAAAATACAGAAATGTC